CTGGATGGCAGAGTTCCGAGGGTTGTGGCCAGTGGTGCAGCGTCTAGTTGGAGGCCTGTAGCTAGTGGTGTCCCCCAGGGGTCAGTCCTGGGTCTAGTCTTGTTCAACAGCACGTGCAGTCTTCTGTTTTGAAGTCCTGGTTGCATAGTATTTCAGGGTTAATTTTGTTAAATAAGGAGGCTTGACATCATAGCCTATCCTGCTCAAATATAAAAAAAAAAAAAAACCCTCTCTGTGTGCTTATTATCTTGTGTGAGCTGACTTCTTTAAAGCAACTTCTGATCACGTTTCTGGCCTTCATGTGTCTGGAAATAGTTTCCAGGAAGATTTGCTCCATCATCTTCCCAGGGAAGGATGTGAGGCTGACTGGCCTGTAGATCCCCAGAGTCTCCTTCTTGCCCTTTTTGAAGACAGGGATGACACTCGCTCTCTTCCAGTCCTGAGGAACCGCCTCTGATTGCCGTGTCCTTTCAAAGATAATTGAAAGTTGCCTCGCAATGCCATCAGCCAGCTCCCTCAGCACACATGGGTGCATGCTGTCGGGCCCCTGGACTTGTGTCTGTGCAGTTTAAGTGTTCCCTAACCTCATCTCCCTCTACTGAGGGTAAGTCTTCCTTGCTCCAGCCTTCTCCTCTGGTCGCAGGGGCCTGGGATTCCTGAAGGCCAGTCTTACCAGTAAAGACCGAGGCAAAGGCAGCAACCTCTGCCTTTTCTGTGTCCTTTGTCAGCAAGGCCTTTGCCCTGTTTAGCAGCAGGGCTATGTTTTTCCCTAGCCTTCCTTTTGCTTCTCATTTTCTTGTAGTAGCCTTTCTTGTTGCCCTTCATGTCCCTCAGCAGGTTCAAGTCCAGATGGGCTTTGGCTTTCCTAACCCCGTCCTTGCATGCTCAGACAGTGTCTCTATATTCCTCCTGGGTCACCTGTCCCTGCTTCCACCTCCTGCATGCTTCCTTTTCCTGTTTGAGTTTAGTGAGGAGCTCCTTGTTCATCCATGCAGGTGTCCTGCTGCCTTCGTTTGATTTCCTACTTGTTGGACTGGACCATTCGTGAGCTTGGAAATGCTCGTTGTAAATACTAAAGCTAGCTCATCTGCTGCTGGAAGCAATGGACTCAAAACCTTGTCCTTGGTTAGTAGCCTCCTAGTTTGAGGCATCCCCTCCTTCTACTCGAACCTTGTCACCTGTTTTCTCCCACTGAGGCCTGCTAGCCCTCAGTTTGAATGGAGCATGCTTCACTTTGCCCAAGGATAATACAACCAAGATGAGCTCTGGCACATCCTTAACTAAACGTGCAGTTCGGTGGTCAAAGAATACTGGCCACAGCTTTCCCCCAAAGCTTTCCCAGACCCTACCCAAAGAGAAGGCTGGCAATATAGCTATTTGATATCCCCTAGCAGTTTGACCAAGCAGCCTTTTTTGGGGGGGAAGCTTCCCCTTTACTGCGGAAGATATTCTGTTTTTCATGTGAAGGCTTCTCCTCTTATACTTGTCACAGAAAAGTGGGACTCAACAATTGGAAAGGCTAAAGGGATTCTTGTGCTACTGCTGTCTTCCTTCCTCCAGGAACACTAAGCTCTTTGTGGAAGGCACCATTGCGTCGCCCCACTCTGCGATCTCTCACTCACATGAGGCCCTGAAAGCTTTAAAACCCTACCACATCTGACTTCAGTCTCATCCCAGTAGTGTTAGCTGATAACCTATAATGAGGCATCGCCTGTAACAGCTACTTAATAGCAGCCAAGAATCAGGTCTACAGTTGGTGTGTTCTTTGTGTGTGTCTGACAACCTGTAGGTACTGTTTCCTCCCATTCTCTTCCTTGTACTGAGATGTGTAGGTGGCATGAAGTGCATGAGTGTTATGATTGTGCAATTGCAGAAAGGGCTAGGTAAGAAGATGATGCCTCTCAATTGGCAGGGTGCAGGAAGTAGGAGATAGTAAAAGGAGCTGGTGATATTAGAATGCAGAGGCTTTACTGGAAATCACGATTTGGTGGGGGAATAGCTAGTTTTTATTATGGAACTTGTGGTGTTTAGGCGTTCCAGGGAATTAGCGTGGATTGCTGCCCATTGGGGATGGGGTACTTTGGAGGCCGGAGTGCAAGAATGTGCAGTATGTCAATATAGGGGAATGGAGGGGGGGAGACAGAGGAGCCCTTAATGTTTCCCTACTTTAAGAACTGTTGATGTAAGATCAGTGACTGACACCTTTGATATCAGCGTAAATTGAGATCAGTAATTAAGATGAGAGAGTGGACCTGCATATCAGGTTGCACTTCTGAGGATAGCTCGTGTGAAAACTTAGCCACAGGGAAGGTGTACTGCAGTGTGCATCTAGCGTTATGGCAAATGATAAAGGCTGTCATGTAGCAGCCTTAAGGTTAGAGCTGGCATTGGCAGGGGAGCATCTGCTTATGTATTAAATGTACTTGTGAAAGACTTGACCATTTGCACTCTGGGCTTTTCACTTGTATGATATTCTCTGGGGGGGGGGGGGAATTTGTGATTGAGCATTGTCATTTCATTCCTAACTGAATAGCCAACCAGAAGATGCTGGCTGATGCCAACACACTGATGTAAGCACGTCAATTGTGAGTAGCTTTTGTGCTGACAGAAATTTCCCAGTTACAATAAAAGTATTTAAAGAGCTATCAAAGCAGTGTATGAAGGCTGATGGCAAGCTAGCTTTGGGATTACTCTAATGTACTTGGGAAGGAGGAAAAGCAAATGGTATGCTTAATCTGTTTGATTTTTTTTTTCTAGTCAGAATTTGAGGCAGAACTGAAATCTGCTGGTGAAAAGCTTGTAGTAGTTGATTTTTCTGCCACTTGGTGTGGACCATGCAAAACAATCAAGCCCTTTTTTCACGTAAGTAGCCTTTCTAAATCTGTTCTGTCAGCTGAGTAACTTAAAGCAAGTCCAAGAAGTTTTGTGCTGCTTGACAATGGGCGGGAGACATTTTTGCCTAGTGTGATCACGATTGTATTTCCAGGGGGAGGAAAAAAAAAAAAATCACTGAAGTACCCACTTAATGATTGCTGGGAAAAATCAACTGAATTTTGATTCAGTTTAAAGCTCAACTTCATTAACTGTTGCCCTAATGCCAGCCCTGCATCAAAGGTCTCCAGGGCTTCTGTCTCAAGAACTGGGGATAATTAAAACATTCCTTTTTAAGTTCAGTTGTATTCTTAGTTGGAACACTATCTCTTGCTAAAACATGAGACTGCACTGTAGCATTCTGTTGTATTTTGAATGTGGACAATCTTTAGTTTGTACTAGTGCCTTGTGATAGTCAAGCCTTTTCCCTTGGGGAGGAAGGTGTTAGAATAAGCTTAGATTTGTCTAAGGATTAAGTTGCAAAATGCTCAAATATTGGGGACAAAAGATTTGATTGCTGTGCTGGTTAGGAAAATAGCTACTTTAATGTAATAAGGCAAGACTCATCATGGGGGGGAGTCTCCGATATTATACTTCCCATGTGCATGTGTTTTAAAACAAGGCTATTCTGAAGTGCTAATGTAATTATACCGTTTTTTTCTCTTCCCTCCCCTTGTAGAGTTTGTGTGAGAAGTTTGGTGAAGTAGTGTTCATTGAAATTGATGTGGATGATGCTCAGGTATGGTCCTGGAATGCTGCCTGGTGATGGCAGCTGTAAGGGTAAGGCGGAGGTAACGCCTGGTCTCCCAGCAGGGACAGAAACACAAACACAAGGCACACTAGGGTCGCTACTGAGTGTTCATTATCTCTGCGTCTAAGCGAGGGTTCCCCAATGATTTCCCGATCGAGGCAATAATGGAGCGGAAGAGTCCATGGCACCGCTGAGTGCCGGTCCATGGCGAAGAACGCCGGCGGGGGGGGGCACGGGCACTATATGAGGTTTTCATGGACTACACACACACGCAGTAAGCATATTGAGCTCATCGCTACTTCCGAGCCAAAGCCCAGGTGTAGCGCCACACTGGCACGGGCTCAGCCACGTGACTATGGCTCAGCATGCCCTTTTCCCACGGAACGGTCTGGCTAGCTTCCATCGCCTATCTCCTCGACATTCCCCATACACTCCACCCTTGCCATGGAAAGCTAGTTACAGGCCACCCCAATCTTCAGAAGGGCACGGGGTATGAGGGCAAGGGAGTTTACAAAGCAATGGAATCAAAACATAGCATAAAATAAAGCAAAAGATAAACAAGAGTCCTCCTTGTATGAGGTGACCCAGCCGTCCCCTTTAGGGAGCCAAACCAATTAGCCAGCCAGGCATCTCCGTCGTGCTGCCGGATATGTTGGATAATATCTTGTAAGTGGCTGATATCAATCTCAATAGACACTGATTCATCAGTGATGTTAAAACAGTACATCTGATGGCAAATAGTGGGGCTATGCTTATAGCCCTGAGGAAGGACTTGAAACTTATATTGCTTATTCTTTCGTGTAAATGCAATTTGATCCTGTGATTGCGGGGATATAGAGATGGCGAACAATGCATTCACTAAGTCAATGACAGCTTTCCATTCCTGCAGATGTTTCCCTACTCCTTCTAGCAGAGTTACCATGTCAGGTATTACAGCTGCTAATGGTGGAGCAATTTTATTTCGCTCCCTATAACCCACAGTCACAGGCCATGAACCATCAGGCTTCCAAACAGGCCAGATAGGACTATTGAAAGTTGACAGGGCAGGGTGTATTGTTTGAGTCTTCAATAAAGCGTCTAGAGTTTCCTGAATCTCCTTTTCCCCACCAGGAATCCTATAGTGCTTCACTTGCACCACAGTGGGGGGAACTGGTAAATCCACTGGGTCCCATTTTGGCTACCCTCTAATCAAAGTAATGTATCACAACTGTGGTAACACAGGATTTTTTTTTTTTTCCCAAAGGAGAACAATCCTATCAGGGGCTGAATAGTTCTGCCCAGTAACACGTCGATCCCCAAGATGTACTCTTGAATCGGTGCTAATAAAACAGGGGGAGAAAATGGGATTTTTTTGGCCAATTGCTAACATAACTACAGCCCATACTGCTGGGGTGGCCAATCCTCCCACTCCCCCGACATATAGGGGTAGTGGCCTTCCCCAGAGCTACTGCGCTATGTAATACGGTACATAGTCCGGCTTCCATCGCCTGTCTCCTCGACATTCTTCCAAATTGCCCCATACAACAGCTAATGAGCCACAGAAGTAGCAATGAAGCACTTAAGTAGCTGCACGGTCACACTTTTACATTGAGAGGCTTAGGGATAGCTTGTTTCTTTGAGGAACAGAGATGGGGCTTAGTGTCTCTACTGGAAAAGCAGTAAGTTTTTAGGACACCTGAACAGAATGTCAGCAGCAAACTACATTGGGGTGTTTGCAGGTCCTACCTCATGCATATCACAGGGGTCAACTTAAGAGCATTAGTTCAGAAGGTCTGAGGCCTTGAGCTGTTGTGCTGTTGTCTTCCCTAAAACTACTGAATCACATAACTGCCTGGTGGTCTCAGTCTGGTCCTTCTACTGCACTTCAGATGTTAATTCTGGCCCCATTTTTCCCCTTTCACGTCCCAAATTAAGTGTGGGAAAAAGTCTGCTTTGTATCAATTGCTGCAAGATAGTGTGGCTACTCAGACAACCTCAGTTTGAAATAAGAGCTGCTGTGGGACGTTCCAGAATACTTTTTTATTAAAAAAAAAGAAAGAGCAGGGGCAGGCAGCCTTCCCCTACAACACAACTTGGTTAGCTAATGCCTCTAAAAAATTGATGCTTTGTTCCTCCAGCCCTTGCCAAAGCTTCTGAGCCACTGTTCCTAGTACAATTGAAATGTAACTAGCAAGAACCTACCTATTGTAGTTTAACCAAGCTTGCAAGCTTGCAGAAGCAATACTTGGGGTTGAAGAGAATTTACTCCTGGTCAGACTGGTGGAGACGGTCAAGGGCTTGCTGGCCTTTTTTGTTCCGATATGGGGGTGCTGTCCACTTTCTAGGATTACTCGGGTCCTGAACGATTCCATTGCCTGCTTCAATCAGGTGATATGTTTTGCTCATAGCTTTTTGGTCTTGGCTGGCTACTGCAGTCTGAAGCATAGTGGAAGAGTATGGCACAGAGCCAGAGCTAATTGAACATCTCGTGCATGGCTGCCCCTAACTGTAGCAGGTTGAATTGTGAATGTAGGCCATTATTCCCAGGCCTGTGTTCTTGAGCTGTACTTGAAGTACTTTTGCGTCCAAGCTTCAGTAATCACCAAGCTGTTAATCTGTGCTTGCTTATAAATGGAGGCGTTCTGATGCATAAGGCGCTGTCAGATTATAGACCTGATGAGCAGGTGTGTTTGCTGTCAGATGAATTAGATGCTGAAGGGAGGATCTTGTAGGCTTGTTACAGGGAGATGCAATGTTGTGCTGCTTTTGTGGAAGTCATGGACTGATAGAGGTGCTGTTTTACCTGTTTATTAGTAATAATGGCTTCGTTGGGGCATTGTCTAAGCTGAAGAGATCCAGTGGGTTCTAATTTTAACAACCTTCAAACCTGGTCAACTGAAGACTGTCCTCTGTCTCTTCTAGGATGTTGCTATGCACTGTGATGTCAAGTGTATGCCAACATTCCAGTTCTACAAGAATGGAAAGAAGGTAAGGTCTATCTCTTTTTTTGCACTCCTGCTATACAGCAGGCAAGAAGAGGCTGAAAACCTGAGGCGTCTCAGACTATGCAGCCTGTTTTCTCTTGCTAGCATGCCTGGGCACAAATGGCTTTAGAGCATTCAAGAACAAGTCCATCTTGGTCCCTGAAGAAATGCTATACTATAGCATGGGTCAGTAGCTCACCAATAAAGCAAACGCTTAAGTCAGAGCTAACAAACGGAGCTAGTGTTATAGAGTTGTTTATATATAGTGTTATATCTTATGGGCAAAGCTTCATGTAGAGTTAACAATAGGGTTAGGAGTCTATGTTGAGCCTGCTTTTGTTTGCTTAGCACCCTGCTCTAGTTGCTCTTGGCTACTGTTTGGCTGCTGGATGCAAATTTTGTTAGTGCTGAGACTTGACGCTATGTCTAGAGAATCCCACCCACATGCAAGCCTCTAACATGGCTGAATATACAGACAAGGCCATAGTAACTGATTGAGTGCTCTTAAATGGGTAGTGCAACTTGATGTGAGGTGGTGGTCCTCTGTGTCAAGGTATTAAGTAGAGACCTCCTGTCTGTTCCACCCGAAAGTACATGAGATGAAATGCAGGGCCTATTTTGACACGTTAGTGGGTTGGCTGCATGGAGCACTTGTGACTTAGTATCTGCATGGAATAGACTGGCTTCTGAACTAAATGTGTCGTCTTGGTTGTGTTAAAAGCCCCCAAGGTGGTATGAGCCTTGAAACATGCTTTGAAGTTGGCGGGGTGGGGGTGGAGGGGTTGTGGTCTGTGTAAGTATCACAATGGCAAATGATAGGATTTTTTTTTTTTTCCCCCCTAAATGTGGGCATCGGGTGTTGGGTAGACTGCAGCCTGAATCAATATGGAGTTGAATACTGGATGAGAGTAACAATGTAGCTTTGTTACTCTCCTCAGGATAACCTTCATCTAGATGAACCAAAGGTAATGAGGTTTGCAGAAATGGTCTAACTGGGATGTGACAGTAGATAAAAGCTATGCTTGTTCATTGTGTAACTGTTTTATTTTGGGTGACCGCTACAGATTTTTGTTTTCCCTCTTCCTTTTGAACGCATGACTATCAAGAAGTAGATTTAATGACCTGTAGCATAGTCTTCTCTCTCCTTCCTGCCTCCCCCCCGCCTCCCCACACACACCTTGAGGTAGTAGAAGACAGAGCCAGACTTTTCTCAGAGGTGCGCAGCAAAAGGATGGAAGGCAATAGTTGTAAAGTTGCAACAAGGGAAAGGGCATAAAATTTTTACTAAGGGGTTAAGCACTGGAACAGGTTGCCCAGAGGCTGTCACATCTTCATCCTTTGAGTCTTTGAAAACTCAGCTGGACAAGGTCCTGAGCAATCTAAACTTTGTTGTTTTTCCTGCTTTTGGGGGGGGGGGGGGAGGAACTAGAGGCCTCCAGAGGTTCCTTTCAGCCTGCATTTTTGAGTCTGTTATACCACTGGTGCTAGACTGAGTGCTCTTCCTCATATATAGACAGCTCCATCTGGCTGTCTGAGTTGAGCATAGGCTATTGTCCAGCTTGAGTTGAATGGGCGCTGGATGGTCCCTTTAAACCTCTGACAACTTGGGGGTGAACTGCATTAGTGGTGGCAGAGGAGAATACCTAAATGACTGTATGGATACTGTGGAATTAGATATTGTGAAATATTTTGTGCAGCACTTCCTAAAGAACAAACTATCTTTACAGGTGCAAGAATTTTCTGGGGCCAACAGAGAGAAGCTGGAAGAGACCATTGAAAGTCTAGTCTAGTCTCGTCTCCAGCTGTGGAGCCGTTTGGAGCATGACTGCTATGCTTAGGCTAAATCAGTCCAACTCTTCTACTTAAATCTAAGCAAGCTTGCTAGAACATGTCATGGAAATTGTCCTCTTGGTCTACGTAAATGAGTACAATAAAATGTGACTTCGTCACTTTTGGATATTATTTGGTTTTGGTGTGTGACTGGAGATGAAGTCCTCAATGTCAGTGCCTGGCAGTGAATGTTGGGTGGATTGCCTACTTCTGTGCTAAAGCTTTCTAGGTACAACAGTTCCTGTCAAATGCAACCTCATTTGTCACTAGGCTATTGCTGGGAGGGAGCGTGCTGGACAAGGAGAGCAGTGACAGCCGCTTTAGTCTGTCATCACCTTACCCAGGGGCAGTGGCCATCTCTCATCTGGAAGCCAGGTTGTTGCTCTGCAGATACAGTAGGTAAGTTTGAGAAATGTAGGAAAGGAGGTGGTTGCCAACAGGGATGGGTTTATTTCGTCTTACCTCCAAACAATAGTGAAGGTAAAGCTCATTTTTAGCTGAAAGCTCTCTTAACTTAAAAAGCCTCAAAGCTATTAAGCTTGGTCTGAAGCTTTAGACCCGAGGGTTGGTGCTATCCTTATGCTCAGATGTTTTTTAATACATCCTTGGAAATAAAAGGTAACCAAGCCCTGTCTTGTATGTGATTAACGTGGCAAAAATGACTTTTTGCTATTGTTAGCAGCAAAATATGTTAGTTTAAAGTTGGCTGCCTCGCAAACTGGAGCAAGTATGACCTTAAAAGGTAAGACTCCTAGTGTCCAAAGATTGCTGCTTGCTTCTATACTAGTGCTTTGCGAGGACATACTGCACACTTTCCTTTTGCTCAACAGTAAGTTGGGCTCTGCAGCCCTGTAGATCTGCATTGGATTGTCCAGATTAGTGCTGACCTGCCTATCTCTGCATGCTAGTTAACTCCTGGAGTCACTGATGGGGAATTGCTTTCTTCTCCCACACAAAAATCGCTCCCCTCCCAGTGGGTTTATTCGTTTATTGGAGTTCGTATCCAATAAACAAGGGAGCAGGGCTGTAGCTAACATCTACTGTGGTTAGGGTTAGATGAGCTGTGTTCCTGTGTCTGTAGATGCAGCAGGAAGTTGTCTTCCTATTTGCTTATCACATGAAAACATGGAATGAGTAAGCCTCTTGTTCTTGTGGTATGGAGCGCACGTGCCACTCAGGGGCTTACACTTCTATCACAAATACATATGAATCTTCTGGTTTGCAGGAGAGGCAGGAGCCTTGAACAGCTTACCCTGAGAGGAGCAGTTCTCTAGCAGAAAGAAGCCCAATTCCACAGGCTGACCCTACATTTCAGTTGAGTTGTCAATTCTTCCCAGCTGGAGGCCTTGGCTTTTGACACCGCAATAAAAAGGTCATGCAGAGTAGGAAAGAGTCTTCTGTACAGCTCTGTGCATCTAATAAGTGTAGGCGTGTCTGTTAAAGCATGTATATAGGTGGATAATCACTAAACCAAACGAAGCCATGTACATACCACACACGAAATCACACACAAAAAAAAACAAAACAAAAAAAAAATCTATAAACCATAAAACTAAAAAAACAAACAGACCCAAAAACACAAAAGAACCATAATTCTACAAAACAAAAAACAAAAATCAACAACAAAAAACACACACAAGAACAAAACACACAAAAGAACAAAAAAAATTTCAAAATAACCTCAAACCCCTCAAAACAAAAAAACCAAACCACACAGCTCTCTCCCCAAAACCCCAAGCCTCCAAAAACCACCCCCCCAAACCCCCAAAAACCT